ACCATCTCCCCTCCCCTCCCCCCCCCCAACAGGACCTGGTTGGACCCCTCTGCCGCCCGCCCCTCCCCCCACTTCCTGCGGGCCGTGCGCTCCCTCCCCCCCCGTTTCGGCCCCGCGTCGGCCCCCGAGTACCTGGAGCTGCTCTCGGCCTACGGGACCCACTTCGTGTGGGGGGCGCGGTTGGGGGGCCGCCTGCGGGCGCTGACGTCGGTCCGGCTGTGCCGTGCGGCCATGGCGGGGGTCAGCGCCCGCGAGGCCTCCGACTGCCTGGGGGTGGAGGTGGCGGCCGGGGGTGGGGCCTGGAGGGCAGGTGCCAAGGCCGAGGCCTGCCGGAGGGCGCGGGAGGGCACCGAGGGCAACGTCAGCTTCAACGAGTTCTTCGGGGAGCGGCTCGTCGAGGTCGACGGCGGTGGCGGCCAAGGGGCCCAAGGTGGTCTTTTCCAAGATGGTGGCGGGTTCCAAGATGGCGGCTTCCAAGATGACGGAATCCAAGATGGCGGCTTCCAAGATGGTAGAATTCAACATGGTGGAATCCAAGATGGCGGCTTCCAAGATGGTAGAATTCAACATGGCGGAATCCAAGATGGCGGAATCCAAGATGGTGGTTTCCAAGATGGCAGTTTCCAAGATGGCGGCGGGTTCCAAGCCGGGGACCTGCTGTATGGGCGCCCCGAGGCGCTTCGGCGCTGGCTGGCGGAGCTGCCGGGGGCGCCGGCGCTGGTGGAGGCCGACCTGCGGCCCCTGCACACGCTGGTGCCGCGCTCCGACCCCCGGCGCCGGGCCCTGAGGGCGGCCATCGCCGCCTACGTGGCCGCGCGTTCCCTCCAGGGCAACTGCAGCTGCGACGGGACCGGCGGCCAACGGGGCCCACCCGGCGCTCAACGGGGTGGTCTTGGTGGTCAACATGTTGGTCTTGGTGGTCAACGTGTTGGTCTTGGTGGTCAACCCGGCGGTCGTCGAGTTGGTCACGGTAGTGGTCAACCTGGTGGGCTTGGTGGTCAGTGGGGTCAACGTGCTGGTCGTGGTGGTCAACCCCATGGTCATCATGGTGGCCAACCCAATGGCCAACTCAATGATGAACTCAGGAATCAACCCAATGACCAACTCAACGACCAACTCAACAATCAACTCAAGGATCAACCCAATGATCAACTCAAGGATCAACCCAACGATCAACTCTACAACCAACCCAACAATCAACCCAACGGTCAACTCAACGGTCAACCCAATGACCACCCCGATGACCAACCCAATGATCAACCCAACGATCAACCCTACGACCAACTCAACGATCAACTCAAGATTCAACTCAAGAATCAACCCAACGACCAACCCAAGAACCAACTCTACGATGAACCCAACGACCAACCCAATGCCCCCCCCGCCCCGCCGCCCCTCCCCCGCCACCCCTGCCACTGCCCCTGCTCCTCCCGGCCCCTCCCCCTGGGCGGGTCCCCGTGCTGCCCCGCCCGCCGCGGCTCCGCCCACCTCTCCGTGCTCGTCCTGGGCGGGCGGGGCTGGCGCGGGGACGTCCTGTCGGCCACCGACGCCTACGTCTGGGCCTCCTACGGGGGCCGGCGCGCCCGCACCCCCACGGCCTGGAACGACCCCCGCCCGCGCTGGGGGGCCCGGCTGGACCTGGGGGAGGTGGTTTTGGGGCCGGGGGCGGAGCTGGAGCTGCGGGTTTGGGACGAGGATCACGGGTGGGACGACGACGAGCTGGGGGGGTG